GTGTCTCCCCCCACATCGCATCAGATAGATTAGATATGTTTAAATAGTCATGATGAAATATTTTTGTTGTAAAAAAGTTGAAAGGCTTTTTATAATTTTGTTTTTGAAGTATTCTATTTGGCAGGGTTTTATGTATTTTGTTTTGCCTGTTACTTTTTTTTAAAATACATTTTACTGATTTCTTACAGAGAGGAAGGGAGAGAGATAGAGAGTTAGAAACATCGATCAGCGGCCCCCTGCACACTCCCTACTGAGTGTGTGCCCACAACCAAGGTACATGCCCTTGACCGGAATCAAACCTGGGACCCTTGAGTCCGCAGGCTGACGCTCTATCCACTGAGCTAAACCGGTCAGGGCAATTTTGGTTTGTTTTTAATGAGCAGAAGTTTGAGGGGTTGTGTGTTTTTTCCAAGTTTCTAAATTGCCTTAGACTTTTGGAAAGTTCAGGGGTAGTAGACCCAGGGCCTATAGTGTCCCCTGGATAAAGTGGCCCTACCTTCCACTTTGCACATTCCTTGGGTGGTCCTGTAACATCACCTCCCCCTGAATGCCATTGAGGCTCAAATGGAGCCCCAGACCCATTTGCCCAAACACTTCCTAGCTCCCCCTTCCCCTGGACAACCCATGGGTGCCTCCAATTCACCAGTTCCCCAAATAGGCACATCCTGCACCCCCTCCCTACCTGCTGCTACTTCAAAATATCCTGTCTTAGCAAAAGTCACCACAACTGTTTGCTCCCCCAAGTTAGAAGCCTGGAAGTCATCCTCCATCACTCTCCCTCACTCCTCATCTCAGTCCTCACAGTCCTGGTTATTAACATTTCTTTCACCTGCCCCTTCCCATGTTCCTTCCTCAGTGAAACACACCATCATGCACATGGAGACATCTCACTTCTCACTTAATTCTGCCCTCTAAATAGTGCCTGCGACTGCCTCTCTCCATGCTCATCCCTGGGCCTCAACAGCACCTCCTCACTCCTGCCTGGCCTGCTCTGCTGGGCTCCTAACTACTCTTTTCTCCCAAGCTCCCCTCACCTCCAACCTTGACACTGCTGGCTAGAGAACTAGGCTAAAATGCTAATTCTCTCCCCCCCCCCCCCCCCCCCATCCCTCAGCAGAAGCCTCACTGGCCCCACAGCCTCTGAGCTGAGGTTTGAACTGATCTGTGGGTCTGGCTCTGTTGCCCCCAGCTTCATCCTCACTCCCCTCCCCACCCATGCACTCTTCCTTTGAAAAATATTTCAGTGCCTACTCTGCACCAGCCACATGCTCCCTTCTCTCCCATCGTCTAAATAAATGAATTTCCTAACACATCCAGTCATTCCCAACCTCTTTGCCTTCATAAAAATTGTTCCTTCTTCCTGAACTTCTACCCCAACTTCTAGGCTAAATTAACTCTAGTCCACTGCAGCCCAGATTCATAGAGAAAAATGTAATGTCATTTTTAACTTTAAAATTGTATATATTTAAGGCGTATTACATTGTTTTGATATACATAGTGAAATGGTTACAACAGTCAATCCAAGTAGCATAGTCATCTCCTCACATAGTTACCCAGCGTGTGTGTGTGTGTGTGTGTGTGTATATGTGTGCATGCACACACACACAAAATCTAATGTCTTCACTTTTCTTACAATTTAACCTGGTTTTCCAGTGGAGTCCCTAACCACTAAATTCAGGATAACAAATTAATGTCTAATTTTGTTTAAGTTTGGTCCATTCCAACAATTTGAATAATCCCTCGGCAGCCTCCAGGCTTTCTAGGGAAAGCATTGCTCTCCTAACTCTGCCCCTTGAAAACATGATGAATACGGTCCATTGCGTTGGAGTGAGAAAATATTAGAATTGGTATTTATGTTTACTTTTATATAGAAAAAAAGAAATTATGCTTTGTTAATTGCTGATAATCATAGGGATGTAGGCTCAGGAGTTTGAGATAAAATCACTTTGGAGACCACTGGTTCCTTCTGGCCTCTGCTCATTTCCTCCCACTCTCTACCTCGCTCCCTCCTCTTGAATTACTCTGCCTTTTACATGTGTCTCAAAGTCACCAGGGTCACTCTCGGATTCTTCCCATGTCCTCACCCAGCACAATCCCTCACTTTATGCGAGACTCTGCTTTAATATATCTCCCATCCCCACCCCACCCCCAACTCTCTACCCACAGAACCTGCTTTATTGCTCTGCATCTTACTTGGATTTGCCTGAAATGGTTTATTTGTATATATCACCACAACTAGAATGGGAGCTCAGGGCGTATGGGAACCTTCCCTGTCTCCAGGGCACCAGTAACTACCAGCTGAGTAGATGTCTGTGGATTCTGTACCTCTATTACCATGTGGTCTCACTCTCTGTCTAACCTTGTTTGGCTGAAGGGTGTGTCTGCATCCCCGAACAATGATGTTGTCCAAGAGAATGGTCTGCAATGATGAAAATGCGCTGCCCAAAATGGTAGCCATCAGCCACATGTGCTATTGAGCATTTGGAATGTGCCTAGTGTGACTTAGGAATTAATTTTTAATTGTACTTAAGTATTCAAATTCAAGTAGCCACATGTGGCTGATGGCCACGGAACTGGACAGTGACATTCTAGACTATGAGGCCCTTGAGGGCCTTATTCCCTCATGTCCAGCACCATACCTGACATGTGACAGTCATTGAGGAAATACTAAGTGGGTGTCTGGCCTACTGTGGGTCTTAGAGAGGGCAAGGATTAGTGTTTTAACGTGAACTTACGATGCTATTTTCTCTCTAGTTCACACAATCACCAGAAAGCCCATGTCTTGGCATGATAACCTGGAGGAACCTGCAGATGGTAGGTCCTGGGGTTTGAGAACACCCCTGACATAGAACGAAGACGGGCAGATGGCTGCAGTCCTCTCAGGGGAGTCTCATCTTGGAGCAGATAACAGTCCTCTGCTTTGAGCATCTGAAAACTGGGCCCATACTATCCAAGCTCATAAGAGATGGACACATTCCACCATAGTTCCAGTTTATTAACTTTCAAGCCAACAAACATGTTTCTAATGACCGTAGCATTGCATTCATTCATTCATCAAACATTAGCTGTTATAAACACAAATTTTGGAATCATACTCAATTCAAATCCTGGTTCCGCTGCTCATGAACTGTGTGACTTTGGACAAGATTTTTTTTTTATTTTTTTATTTTAGGAAGAGAGGAAGGGAGGAAGGAGAGGGGAGGGAGGGAGAGAGACAGAGAGAGAGACAGACAGACAGACAGGCATTGATTTGTTGTTCCACTTATTTATGCATTCCTTGGTTGATTCTTGTATCTTCCCTGACCGGGGGTCGAACCCAAAACCTTGGAGTACCAGGACCACACTAACCAACTGAGCTACCAGACCAGGGCCTGGGCAAGATTTTTATATCTCCCTGAGTTTATCTCTTACTGTTGTTGGGAGGATTAAACAAAATACTTAAAGTGTTTAAAACAGTATCTGGTACATGGTGATCAGTAATTGTAGATTCATGTAATTATTTTCATCATTACTAAGTAATAGTCACTATGTGATAGTACTATGTGATGGGGCTGGGGAGGAAATCTCATACCATAGTGAAGAAGAGACAGACAGATTAGAGACCAGGACTGGGATGGCAACAGCATAGAAAACAGGTGCCTAAGTCAGGCAGTGGAGTTTTGGAAAGTCTTCTTAAAGGAGGTGGGCACAGGGTGACACGGAAAGACATTCCAAGTTACATGGAAAGGCACAGAAATGAGAGACACCACCATGGCCCTAGAACTATGAGTAGTTTGGCAGGGCCACAGTATATAGGTGGACACTGGCCATGTGTGGGAATGAGGGAAGAGAAGTATTTTATGGAAAGCTTCTCTCCTTCCCCTCTATGTTCTTAGAGTAGAACACGATGGAGAATGGATGTAGGACATGCAGGAGGATGGGTTGGGAGGTGTGGGTTGGGGGGAGCATGAATGATCACACAGCAGAGTGGAGACAGACAAGCCAAGTGAACTATCAAAAGAGCATAATTAAAAAGGTACGGTTCTTATCTATAGTGAAGACACTAGCCTAGGTAAAGGACAGGAGCTGGGGCCTTGTAGCTATAAGAAAAATAACAGGCAGTGAGGTCTTGAAAGCCAGGTCAAAGTTCATTACTAGCTCCCTCATGCTAAGAACGAGCTTGGTCGGATGCACAGGCCCTTCAGTCACACCCCTTCAGTCCATTCTCAGTCACCTCGCTGAAGTGGGTATTTGCCTCCCATTCTACAGATGAGCAAAGTGAGACCCAGAGAAGTTAAACCCCTTGACTAGCGAATAATAGAAGATCCAGAATGTCCCACTAAAAACCCCAGTTTCTTCCTGATGTCAAACTGCCTCTCTCAGATTGAGATTTGATAAGATATGAATTAAAAATGAAAATTCTTTGAGTCCTTAAGCTGTGGAGCTAAAAATATACCTGGCGTTGGCAGCCAGACTTATTTCAATACAAAAAGATTTGACCTTTTTTGTTTTTTGTTTTGTAATCCTCACTGGAGGATATATTTTCCCCATTAATTTCTAGAGAAAGTGGAAGGGAGGGAAGAGGGGGAGAGAAAGAGACACATCCATTGGTTGCCTCCCGCACCTGCAACTGAGGTACGTACCCTTGACCCTGGAAATTGAACCCACGCCCCTTCAGTCTGTGGGCTGACACTCTAACCACCGAGCCACCAGCCAGGGCTGACTTGACTTCTTACAGCCTTCCTCCTCACTCTCTGGGCCACAGCTACAGTGTCCAAACTCATTCACGCCTCAAGCCTTTGTTCTCATGCCGGCAGTGGTGTAGTTTTCCTCTGCCTCTTGCTCAGGGCTACCTCCTGCTTGACATCCAGAGAGGCGTCCCCTAAAGATCCTGTGGACTTAGCCAGCTGGCCTCTGTGTGCCCCTCTGACTACCCCTTCTTCACAGTTCACCTCACTGTTTGCCACCATTGGGTTTGCTTGTGAACTTGTACATTGTGTCCCCTTTCTCATCTCCTAGACTCGGGGCTCCAGGAAGGCAGGGACCATGTGTGTCTCACTCTGCTCTCCGGGGCCCAGACAATGCCTGGCACAGTTTGTGAATGGAGGAACCAGACACCCTTGGCATGAGGCCCAAGAAAGCCTCCGAGCCCAGGTGCTCTGCCTCTAAGGAAGGAAGTGTCCAGAGTAAAAAGGGCACAGGACCAGGTGTTGTTCCCGAAGACTGACTTTCTAACTCATGCCCCATCCTCCAGACAGGTTTCTGAATCTTATTCACCACACTGCCCAGGGGCCCAGGAAGAAGTACCCAGAGACACAGACTGAAAGCCAAGAAATTGGGTGGTTCTCAGAGCCCTTGGTAAGTGTCTCCTTTACTCAGGAAGCTCGGAGGCAACAGAGGTTGGGGACTGAGAGAGCAGAGTATGGACCTGATGCCTGGTTTCGAACTCTGGCTACCACTTGCTAGCTGTGTGACGTTGAGTAAGTGACCGAGCTATTTATAACTCAGTTTTCTCCGTGTAATCTGGAGATATTACAGGACATATCTCAAGGTTATGAGGAATAAATGAGGTAGGATTTGTAAGGTGCAAAAACAGTGCCTGCCACATAGTAAGTCCTGTGTGGAAGGTTCGGAGTGGGCCGGGGTCATGCACCTATGACTTGAGGCCATAATGTATCAAAAGAAATTTTATGCCAGGCACCTGGGCACAGGTGGGCTGAGTCCGAGAAAGGAATAGGTGGAGACAGAAGGGAGAGAGAGGTTTTTATTAGTCCTTGCTGGCTGCAAGCCATTCTGCTGATGTGAGGGTCCGGTCCGTCCTTGGCTCCTCCCTGTGCCAGATGTCTGGCTGTAATCAGGCTATGTGGTGTTCAAGGCTGCAAGCTTTCTGCAAGATATCTGCTAAGCACAATCCGTTTTCTCTGCCCCGTTTTATTCTCTTTAACCCAAAGGTTGCTGGAAACAGACTGCTAATTTGCTCTACCAGTAATTAGTAGGCTGGTCTTGGCCATGTCACTTAACATCTCTAAGTTCTGCCCCCTTCCCTGTAATGTGGGAATGATAGCAACAGTACTCACCTCATTGGATTGAAAGGTCCCACTACCTACAAGTAGCCCGTCATCACCCTAAATGATACAGGGCTTCCGTTACTAAAGGAAAAAATGTAGACTTTTAAAGAGACATCTCGAAGAACTTTCTGGCAGTCTTGTCTTTTAACTCCGCTTCTGTCTCCATCGCATAGAGGTTTTGGTTTTTAAGGACGCAGTGTGCCAGTGTTTTGTATTATGGTTCCTGGGTTTTGTGCCTTGCTTAGGAAAACTTTCAACATCTTGAGTTACAAAACAACTAATTTTTCTTCTACATTTTCCCCTAAATGTTGTGTGTGTGTGTGTTTTTTTAAAATATATTTTTATTGAATTTTTAGAGAGGAAGGGAGAGGGATAGACAGTTAGAAACATCAATGAGAGAGAAACATCAACCAGCTGCCTCCTGCACATCTCCCACTGGGGATGTGCCCGCAACCAGGTACATACATGCCCTTGACCAGAATCGAACCTGGAACCTTTCAGTCCGCAGGCCGATGCTCTATCCACTGAGCCAAACCGGTTTGGCAAATGTTGTGTTTTTTAATGCTAGGATTTTAGTGCATCTGTATAATTTGTGGGTGGCAGGATGTTCCACAGCTGTATTGGAACTTCCTTAATGGCCTCAAAGGTGCCACAAGCTTACACGCCCTGTATCTCCACATGTGCTGGTCCTGCAGCCCAGCTCCGGACCCCAGCCACTACTCCTTGGGTAAGTCCTGCTCATCCTCCGACACAGCTCTTGAGTCGCCTCTTCCATGAAGTCCCACTAAGGGATTTCTGCCCCCCACTGGCAGAGTTGGGCACTGCCCGCTGTGCTTCTGCAGCACCCTGTGCCTCCTGCTATTACAACTTAATTCAATGTTACATGGTGGCTCTGGAGCCAGATAGCCTAAGTTCAAATCCCAGCTCCACCACTTTCTAGCTGTGTGAACTGAAACTCTGAAACTCCATTTATTTACTATCAAATGGGGATAAAAATATCAATACTTGAAGGTTTGTTGTGAGGATTAACTAGAAATGTATATAACTTGCTAGGAGAGTACCTAGCACAGGTAAGTGCTCAATAATGATGGGCTACTATGCTGTCAATGAAGAAGAGAAAAGAAGGCACATGGCCCCACCGAGAGCCGTCAGGTGCTTCCCCTGGCCCTTGGCTCACTCCTGATTGTCTCTGTCCACTGAGTAATTCTGTAGTGTACACCCTTCCCTCCAGCTCCCCATTCCCGGTCCTTCTCTTATTTCTATGTGGGGGCCTGGCTTCTCCTCCGTTTCCACGCTCCAGCCTGGGGCTAGTGGCTCTGCCACAGGACGACTGCATGGGCATGGGATGAGCGTCTCAGTAAGTCCATTCAGCCAGTGAGGAGAGAGCTCATAGCTGCGCCTCAGACACGGGGGCCTCGCCTCAGAGAGGAGACTTCGGGAGACAGGGTGAGGGTTCCAGCAGGAGCCCCACCCCTTTCACAGAGGAGCTGAGTCTAGAGGGAGAGGCTGGGGAAGAGACAAATGTTCAAAGGGAAGTAGGGGAGGATGTGGGCATGTAGACGGAAGGAGTTCACTTATAGTGAATAAAAGGAGGATTGTGAAGGAAAGAAGGCGAATTAAAAATCATCCAAGTTAGATAATTTTGCAACTTCTAAAAATATTACAAAGCACAATAATTTAGCTCACTGTTCTTTGCTGTGTTTTTTAAAGATAAAGGCCTGGCTCCCGTGGGAACAAAGTGTGCATGTGGAAATGTATCTTTGACAGGCACATCTCACCGCAGGCTCACCATGCAGTGAGTCACTAGTGTGACTGCTGTGGCCAGCCGGCCCTGCTCAACCCCCTTCGGCCTTGCAGATAACTGATTGCGGGGGCCCTCACATCAGGTCTCCACCATGGAGTTGTGAAGGGTCTGCAAATAAACTAGACATGTTCATCATTATGAACTGGAGGCACTGCCACAAGATGGCGCTGGTGGCATAGTGAGAAAGTATACCCCAATCCCATGACATGCATTTGTGCAAAGTTAATTACGCTGGAGTTTCGGAGTGAAGCACTAGAGGGCACAAAAGGCTTGATCGGCCCCAAATTCACTTAGGGCTCCCTGCCCCCTGGCAGGACCTCAGCCTGCACAGGAAGAGAACTCCCACCCCAATAATAGGACACGGGGGAAGCACACTCAGTGAACACCACCAGCCTCTGGTCTCCTAGTAACTTGTGCTGAATGTGTGTCCTTCAGGTTAATTGCACAATGGAGCTCCTATACCATTCACATGCCAGAGTTCTCACTCGCACTCAGTCCTCTGTGTAATTACAACACATTCATTCGTTCATTCACAAATATGTGCAGAGTCCCTAGTGCGTGCTGCTTACTGTTCTAGGTGCAGGAATAAGCAGTGACTAAAACAGCACCTGCCCCCTGGAGCTCACGTTCCAGTGGGGA